TTTAACCTTTCTATCTCTGCATCAGTCTTTGGGTTCCTTTTTGAAGTTGAAGCTTGCCTGCTACCTTCCGAGTTAGCTGAGCAGACCATTCTTCACATGCGGAGCAGGACGCATTGCCTAGTGTCCCATCTGCACCTGCGGAGCGACTGCCTTGCAGGGAGGGCTGAGCTGCTCTGACGCCCCAACCTCAGCCTACCCGTGACACACACTCATGTGAAATCAATGGTCACGTGTGTTTTCCCACTGATACCACGTGCAGAAGGCCATTGCTAGCTATTGGGATTCAAGTGGGAGTTCATCAAGGGCAGGTGGAGGATCACCCAGAAGGGCACTTTGGAGTCTTTTAAAATTCCTTACGAGAGAACATTTAATGGTCAGTAGGTGATCCTTGTCAAAGAGAAAGCAGCGAATTCACACTGTTCTCTTTGGCGAGGTGGCCTTCTGCATTTTCTGCTTAGGACATTTCTGTTGAGCACACTGTGTGCTCCACTCACAGTCAGAGAGCTGCGGCCACAGGTGGAGAAGGGGCAAGTGTCTGGAGGGGAGCCCGAGGCAGCCAGTGTGCAGAGGGAGTCTGGGGACTGCAGGGCAGCTGAGCAGGAGAGAGGGAGCCAGGACGTGAAGGGCACGGCTCCCCTGGACACATCATTTGTGCACGCAGGTGTTTGGCCCCACGTCAGTGCTGAGTTTCACCTGCATCTATGATCAAGAAGCAAACGGTTCAGTGGTCACAGCAGCGCAGGGCTCACTTGGGAGGCAAACCGAAACTGGATTTAAGCAAAGTGATTTCGAAGGAGATGCTTTTCGCCTGGGAACATTTCCTCCTAAGGTAGTAATCAAGGGACCAGGCAAAATACTTACTAATGTTCCAAAGCTAAGAATGTGACTCAGAGACAAAAAATACAAAAAACCCACTTACTTTCCGAAATGTTGCCTGTTGGAGAGGAAAGGTGGAGGATCAAGAGGCGTGTTCTGCCTACGGGGACACGCGAGCCGGGGAGCTGTCCGTGCTCCGCTTACGGGGACACGCGCGGTGGACACATGACGCGCACAGGCGCCACATGGGGCGCGGACGGGAGATGGAAAACGCTCTAAGAGAGTCGTGTTTATACGATGGAACTTTTGTGAAAGTTTTCTGCAGTAGCTGAGATACAATTTATTTTTATGATTAAGCCTTTTAATTAGATTTTAAATCCTGGTTTTAATTTTAAGGTGTATGACTCGGGGCAAGGTAGCTCTGTAAATGCCAGTTCTTCACCTGTCAGTGTCACCTACCTCAGCAGGTGCGGTGGGAAGTCAGCGGAATGATACATAGGGAGCGCTGAACCTGGGACTTGTCTGGAACAACCTCACCCTAAACCTTAACTCCGATCAATAGCATTTTAGTCGTTAGTCACAAAGAAAACCTGCCAATTCTTTCCAAATCCTAGTTGGGTGGTAATCTCAGTTTACTCACAGACAGACGTTTTCTGTTCTAACCTAAAGAAATGAGGGATCTTGCCTCAAAGAAGGAGTTACCCCCTAGAGCTCTGGCAGCGTGTTCTTTCAATGACCTTTGACTCCTAAGAAGGAAGTATCTGGCATGTTTCTTTGAAAACCTACCCTGTATCATAGCTGTCCTGTGAGGGGCCGTAACTGTCCCGCTACCACACACAAGGAAGCTGAGGCAGGAGCAGGCGAAAGGACGTGGCCAGGCTCATGTCTCCGGGCAGAGCAGGGATCCGCATGCTGAAGGCCGGACCGAGTCCGACTCACTAAGCTGCGGACGCAGGAGGGCAAACCTCCCGGCAGAGTCCGGCCTGCGGGGCCTCAGTCAGTAGCCACGTCTCTGTCTTGATGTCCCATTAAAACCTCATCCTCCAGGTGAGAGGCCTGGCGGATGGCGGATGGCAGATGCCACCCTGAGGAGGCACTGCAGTCACGTGGCAAGTGGCACTCGGGGTTTGGGATCTTTGTCTGCTTAGGGAGGAGGGTGGCCGTGTCTGTCCCCTCGGCTGGGGGACCGGTCAGAGCTAACCAGCACACGCAGTGCTGGGTTGCACTGGCCACAGCAGCTTCTTAGGCACCAGGGTAGATGTTTTGGGGAAGGACGGAATTTCAGAACGTGCACCTGATCACTGAGCAGCTTCAGACACATCTGAGGAGAGAATGTTCGGTTTTGGGTGAAGCTGCTTTGGCAACAGGATTTCTGTAAGGCTGGGCGGGGGGCTGCGTCCGCAGACAAGGCACCGGTATTTTCTGTCCCCGCATGTTGCTTCAGAACACCCTGTCCCCTGCACACGTCTAACTAGAGAAACATGCCTCCATGGGTCACGATGATGCAAATTCGTCGCAAACGCTCTGCAGGTGCATCTCTTAAGGACCCTTGGGGAAGCGGTTTCCTACCAGGTGTCTTCCCTTCCCAGGACGCTCACACCTGCACCTCTTCTGACTTTGCCGCAGGAGTGCACAGACCCGACTTGCCGAGGCCTGAGCTGACCCCTTCCTGGCCCTGTGACCTTAGCGAGGTCCCTGCGCCCTGAGCCTCTGAGGCAGGGAGGTGTGCCAGCCCACTTCCTGGCGGCCGGCGGGAGCGCGCAATGACTTCACCGAGGGCGAGCGCGGCGCGAACTGCACAGGAACCATCACTGCTGCTACGATTTATATTTGGGACTGAAATCGTCTGGTGTCTAAAGGAGAGGTGATGAGTTAAGGAAACCCTGAAGATCCGAAATAACGTCAGAGCGAGGTGCAGGACTCAGGAGATTTAGCAAAGATGTCAGAGGTACACGGAGGACGCAGAGGGTCGTAGGAGCTGCTGGAGAAAGGACTTCGGCCAAGAGACTGCAGCCGCTCAGCTGTCACAGAGCCCTGTGCCCCTGCGCAGGCGGCACGGGTCAGAGTGGTCTCTGCCCTGCCGCTCCTGACTGGGTGCCCTACTCTCTCCGCAGAGGGCGCTAGTGACCTGCCTCCCCTGCTGGGGAAGATCAAGTGAGGTGATGCAGGTAAAGTGCCTGGAGGGTCCTAGGGCTAGAAAATGCATTTCTCTCCTCCCTCCCTCCCTTCCTTTTCTTCCTCTTCCTCTCCTCCTCCCCCTCTCCCTCCTCCTTCTTTCTCTTCTTCTTCCTCCTCTTTTCCTCCTCCTCCTCCTCCTTGTCTGACATACAGGAGCTCTAACTAGGCAAGTCACCATCAGTATTACTAGAAGCTTCCATGCTCCTCAGAGCATTCAGGCAAGGTCCGGAAGCTATCAGTAGTAGAATGGGGGTTACTCAGAATGCTGCCCAAACTTGGCGTTGGGGTGTGAGTACCCCCAGCCTCTCCAGTCAGCGCCAGGAGCAGAGACAGGCTGTGGAGAGGGTCCTAAGAGGGGCTCTCGGGAGCAGGAGGTGTGTGTGGAGCGGAGGGTTCACAGGGATTCGACTCGGGGCTCATCGGAGGGAAGGGCTCCGTGTGCAGGGATGAGCAGAGGGCTCACCAGCGAAGCCAGACATGAGTGAGATGCTCTTGCCAAGAGTTGCTGGAGGAAGAGTCAGGTTTTCCAAACTGCCATGTTGATTTGTTGTGTTATTTTTAAAGTATTATCATGCAGACGCATTTCCTATCTTTGAGCAAGCAACTGAGAGTGTTGGAGATGTAAAAATTTCAATAGATATAACTTCTTAAGAATTGTTAATTTAAAAATATATCTCAATAAGAATGAGTGGTCAATGATTTTAGGTATTAAATATACAAATACAGTCGTCCCTCGTTTATTGCGGTTAATCTGTTCAGACTCCAGCGTCTGCACCTGGTGTTGGATCCCTGGGGTGCTCGAGTCCATAGGCCCACAGTCCACACGTACAGTAATTTTCATTTTAATTGTAATACAGGGTGTATAGTTGACTCAGACAACTGAGCGCACACTGTATCATTTTCACTGTCTCTATCAACTTTTTAATGAATATATTTGAAAAAAACGCGATAGAGTGAAGCTGCGAACAAAGCGCCAAGTGGCGAGGGACGACTGTACATGAGATAAATATTTGTCAGGGAAAAAAAGCTTTTTCTACGTTGTCAGTGTTAGGCCTCAGGTGACCTGCTGGTGTCGCGTCCTCGACGGGACAAGATGCGCTCGCAGTGCAGCCACCGGCACTGCTCTGTGGTGCTCCCTGTGCCCTCCTGAGGAGGACACCTCCGCAGCGAGTGGAGCTCGAAAGTCGCCCACGTTTCAGAGACGTGTGGGCTTTACATTGTTGTCACACTGCGAGGAGCCCGGCCTCCTTGCGTGCAGGGTGGAGACTGGTCGACGTTTCGGTACCTCTCTCTTTCCTGCTGCCTGTTTTGTGAAAGTACTAATAATCCTATCTTATTTTTGAGCTTCCCACGTTTTCTCATGTCCATCGCCTCATTTTAAACGAAGGCAATTTAAAACCCTTGCTAGATCAGAAGTTGCTGACTCCGTACTGATTATGTGTGACGGGCAGGGATGGACCTCGAGAAGCGAGGTCAACCCCTGTGACCAAATAGTCGGGGGAGTAGACGAGAGAACGTGTTCATGAGGTCGTCCTACAGTGTCTTCTCTTCCAAATGCCATGGGTGTGACTGGGGACAGGGGACTGGGAGAGGCCAGTGTCAACGCACCTGCAGAACTGTCACCTGTCCTAAGGTGAGGGGGGTGGGGCTGTGAAGGACTGTTTTTGGATTGCCTGCCCTGGGCCAGGAAGGTGCTTCTAGCTTAGCATCTGTATTCTCAATCTGCTCAGTAACTCTAAAAGATGGATATTGCTGCTACCCTCTTGTAGATGAGGAAGAAGGCTCAGAGCGCCTTGGGCAGGTCACCAGTGTGTACTGCGAGGATGGCCGTGTGGCCCTGCGGAGTGACATCTGCAGCACAATCTCTATTGCTGCCGTCAGGCGTCTTGCCTTAGTTTCTATCGAAAATCCACATGGGGGATCCAACTGTGTCCCTCAACATGAGAATGCCACCTGGGGACGAAATCGAAATGAAGCAAATGGGGAGCAGCCCCCGAGGACCATACCTGAGGATACTTTGCTCCAGGACCTGGGTCTGGCGCTGGTCTTGCTGATTTTGCCTCTTCATCTCTTCCTGCTCCTCCCCACTGCCGACTCCATCCAGCAGCCAGCGCTCCCTCAAGGCCTTTTTCTGATGGCAGGAAACAGAGGCGTGTCCTTAGACCAGTCAACAACCCCCAAATCCCCGACTGCTTCCAAATCCAGGAATTTCAATCATGGGCACACTTTAGAGAAATTATTCTCTCCCACTGCCTTGCCTGAATCAATCTGGCATTTTCCCTTCTTTGCACCCTTTTTCGGAAGCCAGTTTTGATGGATCTAAGTCCCAGACCTCCTTCTCCATAAAGGCCTTTGTCCCCGCCCCATCCTCGGAGGACGCCCTCCAAGAGGTCGGTCTGCTTCCCTGACTACATGCTGGCTTATGTGACTACATGCTGGCTTATGTTTGTAGGGGTCACAGAGGGACCTCACGCGATGCTTTACTGCTATTTATTTGGTTGATGGGTTTATATTTGTGACTTGAAGTGAAAAGCTCCTCGAAGCCGTTTCCATGTCCGCCCCAGTGACAGGAGCAGTGACCGAGTGCTGGGTGAGCGCAGTGTTGTTCTCAGCCGCGGTCCGCATGAGGTCCCGCCCGCAGTGCCGGCTTCCTTCTGAGACCTGTTCTAGACCCTGGGGGCAGCTCCACTTCCCGTCACACGATGCACAGCGTTCACTGCTCTGCCAAGCATGGGGACAGCCCCTTGGATCTGCGAGGGGGAATCTCCTGCCCGGACCTGGGCCCGAGCGGCGCAAAGCAAAGGAGAGATGTGAGTTCCGGATGGGCTTCAGCCAGCATCCTGTTCTGTCTCCAGCAGAAACGGTTCTTACTATTTTGAAGCATTTGCCTTTCTCCTTTTCTTCATGAAAATAGCACCGCCGCTGTGTATCTAATGGACCCTTGTCAACCACTCATTCCGTCATCGTTCACGGGAACGATGTAGGATGTACTGTGTAGGATGCCGAGGCCAGCAGAATGGAAACTCTGCTTTCTTTTCTGGGACTTCTTTCTCCTACCCCACACGAGAGTACAAGTAAGACAATTTTTTGTTTCTTTTCAAAGGATGCTAGAATTAATACTAATGGAATGCAAATGTGTCTGAATTTTTCTATTTTTATTTTTTATCCTCACCCGAGGACTTTTTTGCATTTATCTTCAGATAGAGTGTGTGTGCGTGGAGGGGGGGGGGGGGACAAACATCCATGTGAGAGAGACACACCGAGTGCTTGCCACCCACTCTCCAGTCCGCAGGCCAATGCTCTAACCACTGAGCAAACTGGCCAGGGCATGTGTCTGAATTTTTTAAAAAATTTAAATAAGGTTGATTATGCTAGATAATTACCAAAGGACGGTTATTTTAAGGCAACGGTTTTCAAATCATTTAAAAACATTACACTGGTGACAAGTCCATGTGTATGCAATGATAGTGAAGAACAGAGGAACCCGGGGACCCCGCTGGAGCAGTGACCCTGGGAACTGTGAACGCACAGAACACTGTCTGCAGCCACGGGCTGAGCGGCCTCCTGCAGCTCATCGCCTTGGCATTGGCCGTTCAGAGTTCAGCAAGTGCCCGTGGACAGCACCCCAGGAGGGCAGTTTGTAGCCAGAGATGGCTCATCCCGCCCTGCTCTAACCTGTGATTAGAGCTGCCTAGCTGTCTGTAGAAATGTGTTCCCACAGACAGTGAATATTACTACTGCACGTCAAGAGTAACCTCCCGAGGTCAAAGATGCCAAGAGAATCTTAGTGTATCAGCATTTTAAGAATTTGCCTTGATTTTAACTTATTTTTATTTGGTGGATGTCGGTGATAGCTAATGCACAGTAGAGAACACCACTGACACCCATCGAGGGAGTGAGCCCCCAGACCAGCTGAGAGGAAGGTCTCAGTCATTTACGTCTGTGTCACCACTGAGGACGCAGAATGAGTCTTGTGACTTGGTTATATTAACTCGGGGCTACATTCTTGGTTCTCAGTCTGGCTAGGAATAAGAATAATTTTCATTTTAGCCTTCGGTTCCTAATCCACAGATTCTCTAGCACCCTGCAGAGAACTCCTTGCATCTGAATGTAAAATGTGTAATTTGGACATGTAATCAAAACAATACGGTTCAATATTACAGTCATCAACACACAGTTATTTTGTGTTTATGTTGCAATTTAGACTTTATTTTTTATTTATTTTTTTATCCTCACCCGAGGACATTTTTCCATTTTTTGTTCAGGTAGAATGAGAGGGAGAGAGAGGAACAGAGAGAGAGAGAGAAACATCGATGTGAAGGGACACATCGAGTGGCTGCCACCCGCACGACTGACCAGAGCCGGGGACAAACTGCAACCAAGGTACATGCCCTTAGCGGGAACCGAACCCGGGTCTCTCAGGACCGCAGGCTGGCGCTCCAACCGCTGAGCCAAACCGGCCAGGGCTGCAATTTAGACTTTAGTATAAAAAGTTAATAAACATAATAGACTATTTCACAACAGTGACATTCAGAATCAAAGGCCATATTAACTAAATGAAAATATGAGTGACATGTGAGTAATAGACATTTTGCAGTTTTTTGTTTGTTTGTTTGTTGGGCTCACCCAGGGATATTTTTCCATTGACTTTTTTTAAAAGAGAGACTGGATGGGAAGAGGGAGGCGGAGAGAGAGAAACATTGATGTGAGAGAGACACACTGATTGGTTGCCTCCCGCAGGACCCAACCAGGGCCGGAGATGGAACTGGAAGCCCAGATATGTGCCCTTGACTGGAATCAAACCCACAACCCTCTGGTCCACAGGCCAGTGCTCTAACCACTGGGCAATTCTGGCAGTTATTTAAAAATATCTATCTATTCGTGTCTCCCAGCTCCTTTGGGCAGTGTTTAGGGAAAGGCTTCCTGAGGCCCTCTACCTTCTGCACAGCATGGCGGTGGCTTCAAGACAGTCAGTTTTCCAAACCACGAATTAGGTAGACTCCCAGAAAAGAAAAGTTTTATGTTTCTCGGTGGCTTCAGATTGTGGCCATGATCCTCGGCAAGAGGACCCCAGGGCACACATCTCAGACAGGCCTGCATGTGAGAATGCTAACCCTGTCCCCAGAAACCCCGCCTCCCGGCACAGCGTCCCTGTGCGGGCCAGGTCTGGAGCGGAGGAGACCAGCGGCGCCCTGCTGCAGAGCCCTCGGTCCGAGTCTGCTTCCGTTGTCACAGTGGTGGCTGGAGTGTGGGCGTGGTCTGCGGCCAGCGAAGTGCTGAGGATGGTCACAGGCATGGGGACAAACCGTGAAGAAGAAAATGGAAGGAACTCGGGTAATGGCAGAGGCCAGTGGACATTTCTTGGCTTGGTGCATGTATTTCAGAGTTGACTTTTTAAATCCTTGTCCGCATTTTTGAACTGCGTTTTGGCAGGATGCCTTGTTGCTGTCTGGTATGGCTGACCATTTCTGCTGAGCTGGGAGGGTGAGCCCCGTTGAAACTGACACCCTTTCCCCATGTTCAGTTCACCTCGCAGATAGAGTTTATCCAGATATAAATGTCATTGTAAGTTTACCTGCAGTTACCACTATAAGGACACAGATGGGGCTTTATTTTATATTCTTAGTGTCCAGCTTGGTACCTTGCATGTATCAGGGGCTTAAGAAATATTCATTGCCAGAAGGGCCCTGTGTGCAACTACATAATTCCGCGCATCAGTTAAGAGTCAGCTGCATTGTATTCCACAAATAAGTGAGATCACGTGATATTTGTTTCTCTCTACTTGGCTTGTTTTGCTTAGTGTAGTACTCTCCAGGTCCTTCCATGTCATCTCAAAGGATAAGAGACCTTTCTTTTTTACAGCTGCATGGTATTCCATTCTGCACATGTACCACAGATTTTTAATCTAATAATGAACTAAACAAACTGCTGAACAAAATTAACCCAGAGACATGGAGGTGGGGTACAGACTGACAAACCTCAGAGAAGGGGGGTTAGGGGGGAAGAGATCAACCACAGAACTTACATGCATGTATGCATGACCAATGAACATAGACAACAAAGCTGGGGATGGAGCAGAAGGGGGAAGGGGAGGAGGATGTCAATGGAGGGAAAATGAGAAACATCTGTAACAAAACAAATTAATAAATACTAAATAAATAAAAGAAAATTATGTTTTGGAATGAATCTTAAAAAATAAAACCCAAAATTCTGGAAAAAAAAAAAGAGTCAGCTGCAATCCCACATCAATAGAACCTTCTTTGGCTACCCTAGATTAAAAAATTACTGCTTAAATTAAAAAATAATCATTTAAGTTTATTTCATCTCAAATTTCCCACGAGGCTGCAGGAGAAGGGCTCTATCCCACCAGGGCCACTGCTGGTCTCTGTGGCATTGATATGCAAATGAGGAGAAGGCGCAGCTCCCCACTGCCACCCCTTGGGAAGGTGTAGGGCACCCTGTGTGGAGACAGAGGCCGCCCTTGCCAGGGTGCAGGTCCCACGAGGTGTGCAGGTCTCAGGACCCGCTCAGGTGTCTCTGAGCAGTGCACACCCCGCAGAGCAGAGCAGTCCAGAACATGACCCGTGTTTGGGCTGGGCTGGGTTGGAAGAGGTCTCCTGGGCTCCAGAAAGCAACCCTACAGGGAAGATTGTGTATTGCTTTTTGGACTGTTTTGGCAAGTCCTGAGATGAGGTGCTGCCTCAGAAGTGGGTCAGCCTGTTCCTGTGTGGAGCTCACTTCCTGGGATGAACCCTGGGTCGTGACACCTGTTCTCTGTGTTGTTCTGCAGCAGCACTGACTGCTGAATGCCAGGGAATGATCAGTTTGCTTAGCAGCAGGAATTCATTCACTGTGAGACCCAAAGTGTGTGTAAATTGTGTGTTGTGTGTGTGTGAGAGAGAGAGAGAGAGAGCGCCCACAAGCACTGATACTGGACTTAGAAATGGCCTATCTCAAAACCTGTTGTAGATCTGACCTTTGACTTAAGTAGAGTTCACTGAAATAACTTGATCAAATTTGTTTTCATTTCCTTGGTTTTTCCAGGAGCACACACAGCATGTCTTGGCTTAGTCTACTGCTCACATGGACTTGGTATGACATCGTAAGGACCAGCAGGACAGCCGTGCTCCAAAACGATCCGTCAGGTGTTAGAAATGTCAGTTTGCATAGGAGCAAAACCAGCCATCCAGAGAGCTGAGGCTAACTGGAATCTTACATGTGTTTCTGCTCAGAGGTGGTTCTTTGATCCAGCAGAGAGCTGGGTTTAGCTGACTTCAGCCCATTTAACTTCAGTGTGTGGGCCCCACGAGTGTGTGGCATGATTTCATCGAGGGCTTGTTACATCTACTGATGGCAGCCCTGTCACCGGAGCAGTTTCCTGCTCGGTCCTGTCACAAGGAGCTCCTGATGTCACGCGGTCACATCCTGTGACCAAGCCATGTGATAAAACACTGCATCTTAATGTGCTTTCTTTGCAAAGTGGCCACACCCACAGAAGATGTGTAGTCTGATTTTACAACGGAGGTTTATTTTTGGTTATGATCTCATGTTCTGTCAAAACAGAATAAAACAAAAACCCAAGCCATTCTCAGGAAGCATTGGGTCCATTGCGCCGAGCTTTCAAACCCAGCACCCGCAGCTGGGCCAGACAGCGTCGGTTCTGAGCCCCTGCGGGCATGCTGGCCTTTTATCGATTTCAAAAGGGACTTCCCAACTGCCCCTGGATGCTAAGCAAGACTGTGTTCTGGGTCAAACTTTCAAGGCTGAATTCTCAAGTTTACCCACGAAAGTGAGGAAATTCCGTAATAAAGGAGAACATGTTCTGATACCATCTTTTCTCTTTTCCACATGTTTACCCAGAGGTTTCATCTCATCTGCAAACACGCGGGCTTGGTGGCCCCCGTGGTGCCCAGGGCCTTAGTGAACTGTGTTGGAATGCTCTCCTCCCTAAAGCAGACTTCCTGTTGAAATCTGAGCCTCATGTGGGTATCTGAATACAAAGTCATGAAATGTAATGAAAGGCTTGTAAGTTACCTTCAAGTGCTGGTGCGTTAGTTTTTCTTCCTCTATCTTCAGACGCTTCTGGGAGATCTCTTCCTGTATTTTTCTTTTATCCTGAAATTAAAAAAGTTCCGGCATTATATCTATTTTTTCAGTTTGCTGAATTATGTTTCCTCGGGTTGTCATCACTGAAAGGCTGGCCCAAGGTAGGCTCTTGGCACCGGGATGAGGCGGCTGTGGAAACTCACATTTCAGAGCCCAGGAGAGCAGAGGGAGCCACGCAGAGCCCCTGGCGCTGGAGGACGCGCAGTGCTGCTCAAAGGGACCTTGAACGTTCGTGCGTCTTTCCTTCCCCTCCCCTCTGACTTCCCATTCAGCCTCGCAAGGCTGAGCCATGGAGCACGGACGGGGCATTAAGAACAGCCACAGGTCACAGGTTACAGCCTGGGGAGCGGGGCTGGTGGGACTGTGGTGACAGTGAGCGGGCCTGCCAGGTCCCCGAGCTATCGGGGGACCACTTTGTGACGTAAAGGATTGCCAGGCCACTATGCTGTGCGTCTGACGCTAATGCAGAATAGTACTGCGTGTGAACTGTAATTGGAAAATTTTACGGAAATAGGCAGTCATGGAAGAAAAAAAGGCTTGGGCGCCGAGCGGCACAATGGGACACGTGCGTTCCCAGAGGGGGTTTTGAACGAGGCTTGAAGAAGCTTCTGAGGAGAGAGGCCGGTCCTGGAGGAGGGTCAGCACAGGTCTGCTTATGTGGGGAGACAGGGCAGACTCCGGGAGCTAGAGAGGGGACTGTTCCCTCTTTGTACAACTTGCTATGGGAAGATGGAGAAAAAAAGGGGCCAGATAATTCTTGTCAACACTGAGTTAAAAAAGTGCATGGATATATGTATCTTTCACCACATGTAAATGGCATTACCTCAAAAAACCCAGAAAGCATAGCTGTCCATGCAGTGGCTTGTGCCTCTTAGAAAAAGTAGCATATACACTGAATAGCCGGGGTTCAGCGTCTGGCTCTGCTGTCTACCAGCTCTGTGTCCTCAGACAAAATTCTTAACTTCTCGGTGTGTCCGTCACCTCATCTCTACAGTGTGGATAATAAGACTGTCTGCCTCATAAGACATGGGCAGTAAATGAGCTGACGTCTGCCAAGATTTCCAGGACAGTGCTCGACACAGCGCTTTATAAGTATCTGTTTAATAAAATTTACTAAGTAAACTCACAACCTGTTAGTCACACAGAAAGCAACACAGTCATTCTGATGGTACATCCATTGGTCTGACATGTGTCAGAGATTCCCTCTCTGGAATTGTTGAGACATTTTGTTAGCTATGCAAAAAGGTCCCTGTTTTACTGCTACTGCTACTGCTACTGCTACTGCTACTGCTACTGCTACTGCTACTGCTACTGCTACTGCTACTATTATTATTTTTACCAGATGTGACATGATTCTCCATCTTATTTATAAGAGTTGGTTTTAAATCTGCTTTCAAAGCTGAGAACTCCCAAAGTATAAAAGTTTGTTGCCAATGAAGACATCTAAAGGAATCTGAAGCAGGCTCAGAAGGCAATTCAGAAGGAAGAGTTCCAAAAATACTTGGCAGCGTTACTAAAACAAGGGCATACTTCCTGATGGGGCGCCTTTGAAGATAAGAACTCGTCTTTGATGTACAAGTTCAGGTACATTTGTTGAAGAAAAACAACACTTTGCGCTCCAACTTTATGTCATGTTTGTCTTTGTGTGTAAGAAGAATACATGACTTCATCAGTATTGTTTTAAAAATTCCATAAGCAACTCTTTTGGAAAAAAAAAATAACTAGGCAACAAGCATGGTCACTTCCTTGGATAAAATCTGGTTGTTAGAAATAAAAACTCTGAAAACTCACAAGTCAATTCTCCACTACATCTCGAGGCTGTTACTGAGCAAATATTAGTACTATTTTAAATTTAGTATGCCAAACATTTTAGTAAGTTTTATGGGCACTGTTTCACTTAATAGTTGTAACAAGGTATATTGTAACATTTCACTTTATAGTCATAATTACAAAGAGACATTGTAAGAATTTTTATTTCACAGAAGAAGAAAAACGAATTAGGGAGTTAACTAACCACCCACAAGTAATATAGGGCAGAACCAGGATTTTTTCTCCCTAAACAGAAATTTTATTCTAAGCTAGGAGTTTAGACTTGGTATGTGTTTCACCTTTAGAAACTAAGTTTAAGTGTTGATTACTACATCCATACACAAAATCCTGTTTAATAAATGAACTAAACTACAATAACTATTTTTACTTGTTTATATTGGATTTTTATTGATTAAAATTTTTTTCACAACAACAAAAGCTCCCAAATTCCCTTTTTTTTTTTTTTGAAGGCAAGGTAACAATGAAACCAAAACTCACCAAAAATTGGGACCCCTCCCCCCCCCAAAAAAACCAACAGGCCAATAACTCTCAAGAATATTTAGGAAAAAGGGAAGCTAAATAAAATATTAGAAACAGAATCTAGAGTACATTAGAAGAAATATATACTTTTTCCAGTGTAGGATTTTTTCAGTATTGCAAGGATGGTTCAGTTATTAGGAATGATATAGTTATAATTAATACGCGTCATCCCCTTAGCAAATCTAAAGGAAAAACTCATATTTTCATTTCCACAGGTTCCTAAAAGGCATTTGACAAAATTCACCCTCTGTTCTTTTCTTCTTTTTTTATCCTCACCGGAGGACATTTTTCAATTTTTTGTTCAGATAGAGCGGGAGAGAAAGAGAGGGAGAGAGAGAGAGAAACATCGACATGAAAGGGACACATCGAGTGGCTGCCACCCGCACGACCAACCAGCGCCGGGGACAAACTGCAACCGAGGTACGTGCCCTTAGCGGGAACCGAACCGGGGTCTCTCCGGACGGCAGGCCAACGCTCTAACCGCTGAACCAAACCGGCCAGGGCTCTTTTTTTATTTTTTATTTATTTATTTTTTAATCCTCACCCAAGGACACTTTTCCATTTTTTGTTCAGCTAGAGTGGGAGGGAGAGAGAGAGAGAGACAGAAACATCGACGTGACAGAGACACATCGAGTGAGCAACTGCCACCTGCACGACCCAACCAGGGCCAGGGACAAACGGCAACCGACGTACGCACCCCTAGCAGGAACTGAACCCGGGTCTCTCTAGACTGACGCTCTAACTGCTAAGCCAAACCAGCCAGGGCTGTTTTTATTTTTATTTTTAAAATTTTAATAAAACAGAAATAAAAGGAGAATTCTTTAACTTGACAAAATAGATTAATCTCAGCTCAAAAGTAAATAGTGTGCCTAAATAGAAAAGGTACCTACTAAATCCGCTATTATTAGCATTTTAAATATTAAATAAAATTGAATTCTGGTAGTAGCCAATAAAGTTAGATGAAAAAAGAGAAAGAAAATTAGAGAAACAATTAGTGGAGTCCCATGTTAATTTATAGAAGCCATAAAAATCACAATAAGAAGATATAAGTGAAGAAAGAACCCTACTTATAATGGAAACCAGAAACCTAAAATACCCAGGAATGCATTTAAAATAAAATGTCAACAAGAAAACTAAGACATTCCTAAGGGACACAATAAACCTGAATTAATAAAATCCATGCCATGTTATTGAATAGGAAGACATCATAAAGACATCATCAATGTCAACTCCCCTTAAGTTGTTATTCTCCACAGATTGTTTATTCTCCATAAATTTTATGTGGTCCCAATAAATGTACCAATGGTTCTGTTGTGGGGGGTTGTCCTGTGATAGGATGTGTAGCAGCTTCCCTGGGCTCTACCCATTCGATGCCAGTAGTACCCCAAGGAGTGACAACTAAAACACCTCCAGTCATTCTTTAATTCCCACTGCAAACTCACCCCTGGGTGAGAACCACTAATATATGCCAATCTCCAACGTTTACTAACTGATGGAATCCATTATGTCATGGTGCATGAGAAGAAGAAACAGATGTTTCCAATGCTATGAAAACCGGTTTTAACTAATTAACACGTTGATTTACAAGTGAAAGAGTATGGGTGATTCACTTATGCCTATAGCTTACCAGCAGAAGACTGGCTTGTCAGAGGGTCATTAGCCTCAAAGCAGAATGACATTTACTGGGTCATACAGTGGATAGGATGTGGGACATTTTGTAGACACTGGGGGAAAATACATGATAAGAAATTCATACCTGATGGTGTTAGACCATTCAGTCTGATGCTATTACCACCTTAAGAAATATGTTAGATATCTGTGAGGAATCGTTCTGTCATGAAACATGTCTTAAGAAGAAAATAATACCACAGGAATTTTTCTGTTTCCAAAATCATATACCTGGGGATCATTCCTTAAATAAGGAACTGGCAAAAACAAACAAACAAAAAAACAAATTCATCAGTGAGTAAAGAAAAATTCATCAGCTGGCCACACTCCTGCATCCCAAGATGATTAGCATGTCTTGGACCTCAGAAACCATTGGGTTCTCCCTCATTAAGGTCTCATTCAGCTGTCCACCTCTCAGAGCTGGTGGACTCTGTCCCCACCCTTGGATTTGAGTGATTGTGGGTGTTTACTTTCTGTCCCTCTCCCATCCCAGCATTGGGGCCAGCCCAAGAGTTGCCTTCTGCATGAACTTTTGAAGGGGACTTTCACAAGAAGAGATGATTCACACCACCTCGAACCACCCTCCAAACCTAAGCACTATGATCAGCTCCCCAGAGCCTTTGAATGCCTTGGTTTTGAACTTGGGTGCTCTCCATAGTGGGAAATGTGCCCCACTCTGGTCCAGCACTACCAGTGGACCCCATGGGTGTTCAGAGAGAACACAAGACCCGCCTACAAATGGAAAACTATGTGAGTCCACATTAAATCAACGTGGTCGGTGCTAAAACATAAAATCCTAAACAAATCTTACTTCTTTCTTAAGAGCAAAATTGCAAAAGTGACATTAGCAATCAAGCATTCTAGAAGAATGAAACAGAAAGCCCTTTTCTACTAAAAGCAAATGCGTTGCTTTTTCTTAAAATAGCATTCATGTTTACCTTCTCTTTTTTGTTGTTTTTTCCATTTATATTTTTAGATAGAATGGAAGGGAG